AATTGCATAAAAGTACTGAAGAGAGTAGAAGTACTAAAGTACTGATTGTGAGTAAAACAAGGCGATACACTGTTGAACCGAAATTGTTCATCACAGTCCTTAGAGTGCATTTAAACAACTGGATTGGACCCAAAAAGGCATAAACATTGATTGCAAATGCTTAAGTAATTTGTGCTTAGTGTGTGCAAGAGTCGGGCTAAATATCAACGAGGAGAAATCAAAATTTATGATAAATCTTGTTCTCAGCTCTAACATCAACATTGGGGATAATGAGATTGAGAAGGCTGACAGCTACGTATATCTTGGCTATGAGGTTCGTGCATCGAGAGATAATCAAACAAGCGAACTAAACAGAAGGATCACACTCGTATGGGCAGCCTACGGGAAAGTTAGAGACATCTTCAAGAGAAAAGGCCAAGAAAGGCTTTCATTCAATGTGTGTTTCCGGTTATAACATAAGGCTCCGAAACTTTAACATTAACGGTAGCCACTGCCATGAGGGTTCAAGTAACACAAAAGTAGATGGAGAGGTCGATCCTGGGTTCAGGGACTACATACGAAAGGAAGACCTATGAAGAAGAAATGGAGTAAATTTGGTCAACATTGTGGCAAAGTGTAAGTGGCGGGCCATGTCGCGCGAATGAGGTATGAGCAGTGGACAAAACGGTTGCTTGAGTGGAGACCGCGAGCGAACGGACGAAGTAGATGTCAAAAGAAGGAGGAACAATTGAATTCAGACAGCACAGAATAGAATCCAATGGAACAGAATAAGGGAGGTCTATGTCCAACAATGGACGCAGAGGGCTGCTTGATGATAATAATCCTAATAACTTGATCTAAGCTAAATTACGACAGATTCGTCTTTGATTGTTGACAATTCCTCTTCTTCAATGTCCTCATCATCTTCCTCTTCATTTTTTTTGGAATCTGATATATTTTTACTGGTATCACTTTTATACCCACTGTTTGGGTATTTACCCTGGGCCCATCACTGGATACACCCCACGCAATAATCCCATACGTTGCAGTGCTGTGGAAATATTCAAAGTATACGCTATGCAGTGTTTCTGGTGGTAGGTTGCAACGTATTGTCTTAACACAATATGAGGCATTTGATAGTCGCCCTTTTAAGTCAGATATGTGTTGGGATCATTTAAGTGTTTCGGAGATGGTAACGCCAAGGAACTTTATGGATTTATCAGTTACCTCATCATTTTGTTTTTTATAAAAGGTTTGTTTTTTCTTTATTTAGTTTTGATTTGTTTATGGAAAACCAGTGCTCTGCCTTTTCAATGTTTTGTTTCGTTTTTTCTTCAAGCTCCTTGATGTCACCACTTCTTGTAACGAAAGATGTATCATCCGCGTAAAGACAAATTAACTCTGTATCCCAAGACCGAACCCTGGGGTACTCCAGTTGCCACTTCTCTCCAAGTTGATTGTTGATCTCGCCAAAAAACTGATTGTTTTCTTTCTTGCAAATATGATACTAAAAATTTTAATGCATTTTCTCCTCCATATTTCATTCCATTCATTTTCCATATTTTCCTAGTTTGCCTAATAATATTGAATGGTTCACCGAATCGAAGGCATTAGTTAGGTCGCAGAATGCAATTTGAGTGAACTTTTGTTGATTAAAACAGTGGACTATAGCATCTATTATACTGACTAGGGCAGTTATTGCAAATCTTTGTTTTTGGTACCCCCCTGTTGACTATTTTTTATTTACTAAGGTTTCAAATATTTTTGATAAGGTTGGTAAAATAGATATTGGTCTATAATTGCTATAGCAAATACTTTTGTCTCCTTTCTTATATGTAGGTGTCTTCGCCAGCTTGAGCTATTTCGGAAAGACTCCCTCCTATAGACAATAATTGTTTATGATAAAACATAGGTGTTTGCTAATAAACGGTTCAACTTCTTTTATTACTTTAGTGGACAGTTCGTATATATCTTTCATATTTTTTTCTCTTACTTCACCTATTGACTCCATCACCGAGCTTGTCGAGTTGACCAAACTGATTGCATCAACACAGCTGGTCGAAGAGTGTTTATACAAGAAGAGTGATACAACCCTGATTTGAGAGAAGAAAAGATAGGTATGCATGATAGATGACTATCATGCATACCAACCCAACCCAACCCAACCCTGGCCCAAGATCAACCGTTTATTTATTCTAAATCTTGGTGACATAGGTGTCTCTCATCGTATTCGTTTCTTAGAATGTGTCTCAGTTTGTTAAAAGCTATCCACACCAGTCGTATGCGCCTTATGATTTCTACGTGTGGTAGTATGGCAGTATGGCCGAAGTATGTATATTCGTTTGTAACTCAATATTTTTGTTTCGTCTAGTTCTGTAACTTTGTTACCTATTAATTATCATCTGCAAATCTGAGGTGGTTCAATTCTACACCTTCTATGTTAATACCTTTAATGTTCCATTCCAATCTCTTAAATACTTGCTCTAGAGCTAGTGTGAACAGATTTGGTGAAATGAAGTCTTCCTGCCTTACACCTCTCATCAATGTTATTCTATTGGTCGTTGTTGTTTCGGCTATTTTGATATGCATTGTTGCTTCCTTGTAAATATTTTTTTGTAATTCGCTACGGTAATGGAAGCTATAACAGTACTCAAACGGGTGCTGTAATGAGACTCCTTACAGCATCCGATGCTGTAATGAGATTTTAGTAACATTTTATGGAACCAGTTCAAGTTGGTGACATTGGGTCATTAATTTTTCTAGTTGTCAATGTGACAATTTTTGTCTATGGATGTTTAAACACGTTCTTAGCATCGAATGCAAGGTCC